TTCAATGAATGAGGGAAATCTTTTCTGGGTTTACCTGTGCCATTTCAGGAGGTTAGCCTGATTATTAGCTCCCCAATGGAAGAGCCAAAGAAATATTCCTGTCAAGGTCTGCGTGCAGAATGACAAGCCTGCAACGTCCTGGCAACATGACAACAATGCATGGTGTGCAGGTCTCAGTCAGCAAAAGCTGGGTGTTGCTAGACCCAGTGAATTACAAGAGGAGTTTGTGTAGCATCTACACCTCAGATTCACTTGGGGACTGATGTCTACCATGAAAGTGTCTGTCTGAAATTTTAGAAGATTTCATTGGCTGTCAAAATGACCCAGTGATGCCAGACAGAGTCTGCTGGAAAAGTTTCTGCAAACTTAATACAATGATTTTTTGGATTAAAAAAACTGCAGAAGTCTTTTCTCCTAGGTAGGTGAGCATAATAAACCTTTCCAAGAGGGCATCCATGCCGTGTGGGAAGGATGAAAGCTTGTAATGCTACACAATAGCAGGAGTGGCAGCGGCATCCTAAAACCGACTCAGACTAATCTGGCTTAAGCTCCAAATACGACCTACATTAAAAGTGGCAGAATCTGATGGCTCATAGTGAGGAATTTCCTCCCACTTGTTCTAATCCTGGAGACTTTACAGTTTTCTATCATGAAGGAGGAAACACTGCTGACCATATCTTGGAGAAGTCAAATGCTGTGTTTATGTAGGACTAGCAAATAAACAAAGATCTATGCTCCCTCTGCTGGCTTTGCATAGCAATATTGAAGTAGAAGGAAACATAAATAGTGTCGGCATCTTCAGCAAACACACATCAATTCAGGAATAATGGGATGAACCACTCACATAACTAGACATTCCTTAGAAAAAATCCATCTTTATCAACTTCTTATCAAGGCACTTGAAAATTCTTAAAATTAGGTATTCAATGAGGCATACCTATAGTCCTCGACTGCCAGCTTGCTAGCTGAGACTGTAATTGTGATTTTGGGTTTCACTTATCAGCAGACACAAGTGGATTCCTCCAAGATGTTAAAGTTCACATACAATCTTTAAAACAATTCTGGAAAAAAATCTTAAGTCTAAGCTAAAGTTTCTTTTGTCTTCTTGTGTTCTCTAAGAGCAGCTTCTAAAAAGTAAAGATTTACACTATTTATATCCGTTCCGATAATGTCAAACATTAGACTTGATTTTCCAAATCATTAGCATGCAGAAGAATGACCTCATGGCGAACAGATGCACTTGGCTGTGAGCTGCAGTGATTACATCAGTCCCTCCCAGCAGTCAGGGTGCCCATTCCTGTTAACCCTTTAAAGGTCTCTTTACTGATCCCTTTTCCTGGGTAACACAGTTGAGAACACAAACTTAGTCCCTCACCCCAATATGTGTGTGTGAAATTGTGTGTGTATGTGTATGCATATGTATTGTGTGTATATATACACATAATATATATACACATATATATTAACTATATTCAATATTTTAATACTGGCTGCCCTTTAGGTTATTTATTGCTGGCCCATAAAGGAAGGAATCAATCAAGGAAGGCCAACTACAGGGTGAGGTAAAAAGCAGTTGAAATACCCATCACACACCAGGCACTGTCAGTATAAGGGATGGATGGAACAGATACAGCGTAGATGATGTTTTTTTAAAAACATTTTCTGATTTTAAAAAATACTTCTTAAAAAACTCTCTGAAGCCGGGCTCAGTGGCTCAGTCTGTAATCCCGTGCCTTTGGGAGGCTGAGGTGAATGGATTGCCTGAGCCCGCAGGTTCGAGACCCACCTGGGCAGCGAGACCTCATCTCTACAATAAATAAAAAAAAATCAGCTGGGCGTGGTAGCGCATGCCTGTAATTCTGGCTACTCGGAAGGCTGAGGCGGAAGGATCTCCAGAACCCAGCAAGTCGAGGCTGCGGTGGCCGGGAGCAGCTGCTGCACTCCAGTCTGGGCGACAGAGTGAGACTCCAACTCAAACAAAACAAAACAAAACAAAAAAACTCTCTGAAAAAAGCTGAGCGCTCACTCTTGGTCCCTGCATCTTATCTGCAGCTGATGGTACCCTCAGGAACAGAGGCTATTCACTAGGCTGGCCTACCCCCTGGGCTCCTTGGATGGGCCACAGACATTTTGGGCAGGGAGCATGTTCCATTTTCTGTAGCAGGGGACATTTTCCAATAGTGGCACCTTTGAGCACAGGCCATCGCATGCAACATACCTCTTACTTTTACCTTGGACTTGAAGGGGTCACTGGGTCTTCCCTATGGAAGGGTCTGCATGCTGCTTTCTGGCTTGCTGCTACAACACAGTGGGGCCCAAATACAGCGTTCAGGTAATTCTCTCTCTTCATTAATAATGAAGATCCTCCTGGTGAGGATACAAAGAAACCTAGGGGCCCATAATTCCTCAGACTGTGCATATGCATGTGAGCAGAAGCCCAAGGCCCTGCTTTGATGACATTGATGGCCAGAGATGGTCTGATTGGGTCCTGAGTGCACTGTGGGAGCTTAAGCTGCTCAGGGTCAATTTTTCCAGTTGGCTTGTTGCTTAGAAGAGCAGACTTCACCTCAATTTCTTAGTTTGAGCTGGCTGGCTCATCTGGGTTTGACTGTACTTGTCCCAAGAAAATAAAAAAGACTGTAAATAAACAAAAATGTATTCCTCTGTAAAAGCAGTATGACTGAGGGAGAGACTCCTCAGAAGCAAAATAGGTATGCAAATGAGGTGAGGATATGGCTCAGAACATGTGTTTGTCCATGTCTGCGGTGCTGACATGCCCCCTGGCTGTGCTGCCCCCACATCTCAGTTCACATCGGATGCATGCCTGGTTCCTGCCGAGTTGTCATCATGGGCAGATACACAAAGCATGAACCCAGAACATTAAGCCCAGACTTAAAAATCACACTCAAGTGTCTGATATGTGTATAAAATGTTGAATCACTCCACATTGAGTCCTCTAAACCAAGGACATTATAACATGTAATACTGATGCTAATCATCTCAAAAGAGGAAGGAGCAACATTCATCTTGATATCCCATGTTAGGTTGCATGTTCTTTTATAAAAGTTCCAATGCTCACCCTTATGTACTGTCAGAATCTTTGTTCTGTGAAGTGAAGAAGCCTACTGGTGATCATTTCCAAGAAGAGGTTGTAAAAACCCATTGCTCCTAGAACCTCACTTAAGACATTGCCTATGTACTCACTGAATTGCTTCAAACAATTGTGAACTTTTGGAAAAGATCTAACTTATATAGAGGCAAAAATATACATAGAAAATAAAATATAGCATTGTTTATTTTGATTACATCTTAATCAATAACCTTAAGATTATAACACTTAAGTTCAGAAATGGAAACATCTAGTTATTACTTACTATTTTTTTAATTTTAAGAAATGAAGTGCTTTTTCAAGGGTTCAAAACAAAGCAAAAACCCTGCACTGAAAAATAAAGACCCTATGAAGAGGGAATGCCTCACAAGGATAGCAGAAAGCCGAATGAGAACTTTTAAAAACTTGCTTTGCCACAGATCCTTTAAGTTCTTTCACCAAAAAATTAGAAACGATGCTAAATCTCTAGCCAGATTGGGTATGAAATCTTCATTCCCCTTGAAATGGATTTTTTTTTTTTGTCTTAGATAGAAGGTTGGCAGAGTGTATAAAAGAATCCAATTCACAGCTGTTCTACTTTTTTAATGTAAGAAACATTAATCAAAGCTTTAAGTTATAAGCCTTGCTCGTGTTGCTTAGTATTCCAGTTCAACAAAGATCAATAGAGGCCATCCCAGTGTTCCCCCGGACGTCTCACCAGGAGGCGGAGGCGTGATTATGCAAATCGTGCGCCCGCACCTCTGCCAGCCTGCTTATCTCCCAGGCCCGCTGCCTGCCGCTCCTGGCTCCCTGCGCCAGTGCATGCCTCTCTCTTATCTTCCAACAAAGCTCCGAGAGGCGCGGACCGAGGCCAGCAATGTTAAACAATGATGCATGGCTGATTTTATTTGTAAGTGATTTATTTCACTGAATTTAATTTTTTTTCACTTTGTGTATAAGATATTCGCTAACAAGTCAGAACAGAAGGAGTCAGGCAGTGTTCGGAGACAATTGACACAGGTTAGAAATCTCTTAAGCTGCGGTGGCTACATCAGAACCAGCAGAAGATACAGGAAGCTTCTCACTGAGACTTTCAACATGCATTGACTACACATCCCATTTACTCTCTGAAAGGCAATTAATCTGTAATTACACACAGAAATGTACAAGTAATAATTCTAGTCTTTGGGGAAAAAACTGCAGTAATCATATAATCAGTTTAAGTGGCATTATGCATTTTTTCCCCCAAATTAGAAATATAAAAAGAATAAAAGCCCCAAAACAAGGAAATCCATGGAAATGTTTGCAATTTGTCATTGGCCTAATATATGAAAATGATCATAAGCTAGTTTCTAAGTGGGTTCCCCACCAGGTGTTGCTCTGGTCGGCAGCTTGTCCACATCACACAGGCCATTCCAGAGAGATACATGCACACGGCACTGCTGTAATGACAGACCCAGGGACACCGTCCTTCCATGTCTCCCACGTTAATCCCTGACCCTCGCATCTCGGCAGCATAATCCCCATTTAGCATTAGTGGCAACGGCTTCCACTGTGAGGAACTCTTTTTTGATAAGTAAGCACTGATTCGGGCATCGCTTTTAAACAACATATTCCCAGCTCAGCAAGAAACCCACACTCCTGAATGAACTGGAGCACATTACTGAGAAAAAGTTCATTAACCTTGCTAGATTCGGAGGTTAACAGGATAGCTGGAGAAAGGAGCAGAGTGAACAGCTCGGATACAAAACAAATGAAAATGAATGTCATCATTCCTTTTGATATTCATTAGTTGATTCAGAGGGAGAATGCTCTTCTTAAATTTGCAAGCATTTATCTGTGAAAAACAGGTGTACATCTGCTGCTCGAATGCATCTTAAGCGCGTGAGAGAAGAATAATGTAGACACTCACCCGTTCCGCCGAGGGAGAAGCTGGGAGAGGGAGAAAAAACTTGGGCTGCGAAATCCTCAAATGTCATCACTTCGCGGTGGTTCTGAATTATTGCTTCAAGATACAGAGCTCGCTCCTCGTAGCTGTGGCCGTTGGTTAAGGAAACAGACGCATGTGCAAAATGACATGCATGGCAGTGACATCGCTCACTTTCTCTTAAACACAGTTATGCAACTTTTACCTCCGAGAGTAAAAAAGGCATCTTGCAAGTTCTCTAGCATCTTGCCAGAAAATTAAGTATTCATCTTAATTAATAAAATTCTGATTGAGAGATGTAAGTTTCTCTTAGACTTCAATTGCATTCAACACCAGTATCACTAAAAATCTGTAAAACAATAGTTACAGAATAATATCAAAAGGTCATAAGATCTGATTGAAACAAACACAAGCAGAAGACACTTATTGCAAAAGCAGTGTCTTTCTGTGACAACTGTGAGACAATGTTGCACTTTCACGTCCTATTTTGGTGGATAAAATGTTCTCAGGCTACAGAAATAATGGGTTGATACTTCAGGCAGGAATGAGTGATACGACAGTACACATGTCTTTCAAAAATAAGAAAATGCAAGTTACTGGGATGAGAAGGTGAGGAAGGGGTGTCAGAACCTCTAATGAGGTAATCTGTGAGCTTTAGAAAACAAAATCTACTATGTGAGAGAATCTAGCAAGGAGTGCACTATGCAATAAAAAAAGACTATGACCTTTTAATTAAAACTGCAGTCTGGAACATACAGCATTCAGATGTGTAATCAAAAACCAGTCACCAATAAAACTTACAAGCATAAAACGCTGAAGCAACTTTCCAGCTGTCTTAATAGGACCGCTGTGTGTGACAAGCTTTCACAGGGCAGAAAGTAAATCTTCCCCTTTAGTGTATGGCTTCTGTTTCCTCCGAAGGTGAATCATGCACTCCCAGTGACAGGATAACATCAGGACAACCCGACAATGGATGTAGGCGGTGCAGGTATGACTTGGTGACGTCCCATCTTCCCCTTCCTCATTATCAATGCAAATGTTAACAGACATGTTTCCATCATTCTGAAAATCACGTGGATTCCCCAGAAACACAGGGAGTGTGGGTCACCATCCATTTATCTGCAGCTGCGGAACAGGTAAAGTAATCCCAGCATTTCATACTATATTTTTAAACAATAATTTCAAAATGGCTTCTTAAAAAATTTACGTTGGTGACAATTACAACCACCAATTAGCTTTCAATAGAGTGTGTGATTTAAAATAGGCACACAAAGTCTGCACACCAATGTCTAAATGCAGGCACCTTCTCTCAACTCAGAGGGCGATTTTCCTGCCATGAGGAGACTAGAGGCATTTGAGGGCTGTGCTGTCCAATACAATAGCCACGAACCACGTGTGGCCACTGAGTTTTAAATTGTAATTTATTACAATAAAAAATAAAAATTCAGTTTCTCTGCCCCACTCACTGTACTTTAAGCACTCGACAGCTGCATGTGACCAGGGGTGATTGCACTGGGTCACATATATAGGACATGCCCATCACCATGGAAAACGCCACTGGACAACGCTAGGCCAGAATTTATCTTTAAGTTTCCCATGCAACTCCAAACAAGGAAAATGAGTTGAAGATTTCAAAGTGGCCCCTCTGATGATTTATGGTCTTTTGTGTAGACGGGTACAACTGCCCAAGGCCTGGGCAGCGTGAGCCTGAGCTGGCTTCTCCACTGTAGGTGAACTCCTGGTGACTTGCCTTAATGAACAGGCTGCCAAGCTTCCTCAGCGAGAGCCGCCCGCCTGGGCCCAATCCTAGAGGGACCCACTAATGCCATTCATGTCTCATTATGAACACGCTTATTCTGCACAGCACTTGGCTGTCGCCATGGCTCGGCCCTCCGTGCACAGCCCCTGCAAGCCGCTGGTCCGGGGAACAGCAGGACGTTAGGCCTGAGTGGCCGTCTGGCGAACAGGCACTCTGACACTAAGCTGGCACGTGCTGGCCCAGCAGGGGCTGAGCGAGGCGTGACAAATTACTCAAAGAGCTGAGCTAAACTTATGGCTGACAACCACCTGAGCCTTCGGACAACCGTGGCCCGCTGTCAACGCTCAATTCATAGCTCCCCCTTTCAGTTTCCAGTCTGCTCGTGGGCCTGGGGTAGGGCAGGCCCGGCCCTCTAAAGACCTGTCATGCTCTGCCTAGTACCGTCCTGCTGTTTCTTGAAAGGCCCCACTGCGTCCAACACATCCACATACAGTGCCTGGGACAATGGGGAACAAAATAGAAACGCGTGTGCATTTTGCTAAATACTCTATGAAGACACGTATCTGGGAACTGACTGGCTATGTTGTTCAAGCTCATGTCAAGTCTGCAAAGTGATGCTGTGCATGGTATCATACAAATTGAGCTCAGACAGCAGTCGTCATCCTCATCTTGGATGACACTATCCAACTGTCACATGCTTGTCCTTGTCAAGGTTGAGAGGTCTGGACTTTCAAGTGAAAGTCCAGCCCTCCAATTGCAGGGAGTAAGCATCAAGTCTTGAGAGTCTTGGATTCAGTAAATACTTATGTCCTGACCCCTACATTAAGGCACTATGGGAGACGGAGAGAACAAAGATGCTTCCAGAACTGGATCCCGTTTACTTCACAGAAGGCTCCGGTTCTTGCCATTCAAGCCCCTGTAACACACACTTCCACCCCACTAACTGGAGTGTTAACAGTACTAAACTGGGTGTTGTCATTTAGACAAACAACCATTAGGGTCTGGGTGAGACTAGGAGATCATAAAATACATTTTCACTCATGGCCCAAGCCAGGGCATGTAAACGCCCTGACAAAGAGAAAACAAACATCACCCCAACTCTGGCAGTGTTTAGAAACAGCCAAGATGCTCATGGGTGCCAAAAATCACTTCTTTTAGTAACCTTAAAAAATGCAGCCCTGGGATCTTAACTGAATTCATTAGTAGAACTACTAGCAAGGATGATTTGGAGCACTATCAGCTGACATTTTCTTACCTAATATCCTGAGGGCTTCAGTGCCGGCTACTCGCTGTAACAAAGGGCATTTCTAATTTAGACATCAAAATGCTTGCAAGCATAGTCTCACATGTGAGACATGCTAAATGTGACTGAATGCTGAGTAGATGCCCGTCCGTGGATGGTATGAGACTTCTGGCTGGAAGAGGCAGAGGGTCGCAAATCCAATGCCCGTTTTAATACCAGTCATTGCCCTTTGGTCTCTTAAAAAGTCCACTAATAAATGTGAAACTTTTACTTTTGTTCTGAATTGCTATCCTATTAAAAGCCACACATACTAAAATACTTTGTAAAGAGCGATTTTCCCCATGATTACTCAATTCAGACAGCATTCAAATCACTAACCAAAAATCCACCTTGGTTTCTGGATATTTCTGAGTTTCTTTAATGACCCATTTTCTCTACATTTTCATATCAGAATTTTTATGAATTATTAAGAGCTGGCTGGCCACAGTAGCTCATGCCTGTAATTCCAGCACTCTGGGAAGCCAAGGTGAGAGGACTGTCTGAGTCAGGAGTTTGAGACCAGCCTGGGCAACATGGCAAGACCTCATCTCTATAATAAATTAAAAAATTAGCCAGGCATGGTAGAGCATGCCTGTATTCCCAGCTACTTGGAAGGCTGAGGAGCAAGTCTCGCTTGAGCACAGCAGGTCAAGACTGCGGTAGCTATGGTAGTGCCACTGTACCACTCCAGCCTGGCAACAGAGTGAGGCTCTGACTGAAAAAAAAAAGGCACCAAGCTGGAGGCCAGGTGTTCAAGTTCAGTTAGGGCAACATAGCAAGACCTTGGCTCTAAAAATAAATAGATAAACAGACAAATAATATCCTCCAACTTGATTAGAAGCTGCATGTCTTTACTAGTTACATGTTATCAAAAATTTCCAAGAGAATTTTGGGGACCCTCAAGGCACTCTGCTGGGTTGCAAGTGCCTGAGAATCCAAACTTGTCCCAACTTTATTCTGATCATTGTTTGTTTTAATTTGTAGAAATGACAGCAGCAGCATGGCACTCAGGAGGGAGTTGGTATTTTGGTGAAAGCAAGACAGAGTTTGAATTCCAGCTGCTTTCCACACTAGCTGCAGGCCTCAAAGCCAGCTGCTGCAGCGACCAGCCTCAGTTGTCTTATGGGTTGAATGGGGACACCAATCTGCTTTAGGACTGCCAGGAAGATTCAAGAGAACCCTACAGTGACGTGTCTACCTGGGTTCTAGCAAAGGAGGAGTATGTAAATCGAGATTCCTATTCCCTGACCTACAACATGGACTTATGGGTTCTGTTCCAGAAAGAATGTCATGAATAAGCCAGAGGAAACCTCCGTGTGAGGCTTCGTGGCAGGGAAATCCCTCCACAGGAGATCCCCCATGTGCAGGGAAATCACCAATCAGGAAATGGAAGCTTAAAGAGTTTAAGTGCTTTTCTAGAATGACAATGACTCAGTAATGGCATTGAGGCTGGACCAAGGTGCTCTAACCTTTACTGCTTTCAGCTATTCTCTTGAATTCTGTAATAAATGGTGCTAAGTCCAAGGCCTTGTGCAAGGTTGGGAACTAAACCCCAAACAGGGACGAATCACAACTTACATACATGTGGGTTATAGAAATCAACATATGTTCAAGCTGCAGCTATGCCCACAGACCATGCTAAGTTTACAAAACACAGAAGAACAATGACTACTCCATGTGAATTTCTTTTTTCAGGCTATGTGCTTGTTGACTGTTATTGAGCACTTTCAACCTTCTATCTTGGAGTAGCTCTTTTATCAAAGAAAAAAGAGAGCTCTTTGGAAGAAGCTACATTGCAGATCGTATTTTCTTCAACCCTTGAAACCCTTCTTGCCTGGACAGTCTCTAAATGTCCCAAGAGCGGACACGATACTCACACAGGCAAAGCAGCCCCAGAGGCAGTGCCAGTGTACATTCCTGTCTCTGGTTTTCTTTCTTAACTCATGTAGCCTCTTAGTACTGACACAAGCCAAGGTTGGAGCCAGCCCTTCTCCTAACTGTAATCGCTTGACCTCATGGCAGTCATCAGCAGAGAGGTGGGAGGAAGCCATGTGTTAGAACCATCT